AAACGTTTCATTAGAGAAGAACCTGTCCAGAAGACCTACACAATTTTTTTCTTTTTGATTTTTACCTGGATTCTGAGATGCATCGAGAAATTTTAAAGACATTTTTTAGCAAACGTGCAGTACTGAAACAAATCTTTTTTTATTTTAATGATATATATCCTGAGCGGGTGTAATAGGCAGCACGCTGCGGTTGTAGGGAAGCCCGTAGATGGGGCTCAGCTCCCGGCGCTGCAGACCCTCCTCCACCTTGCCCAACTGGCGCAGGTAGAAAAGCAGGGTGAGCTTGCGGGTCATGGTCCTGAGTGCCAGGAAGGAAGCCAGGATCTGGGCGAGCAGGAAGAAGAGGTAGATGGAGTGGACGGCCACCTCCAGGGGCAGGATGAGGATTCCTTCATCTGTCACAAAGAAGAGCAGCACTGGCAGCTGGAACATGAAAGACAGGAGCCAGAAGGCTGCCAGCTCTGGCACCTGATGACAGGAAGGGAAGGAGGGAGAATTTGATCTGGTGCGTTCGGGCGATGCAAAGAGAGCAGCGAGCTGTCAGATACTTCGGCTGCATTCACATGAAAGCACATAAACAGCTGTGTGCCGAGGCACACAGTATTTGGTTTGACAGTTGTAATGGAGGAAAAAGATCATTGCAACGTTTGTATGAGGAAGATTTAAACAGGTTTAATTCAAAGCTTTGTCTTGTTCTTTCTAGTGGATGTGGCTCGGAGTTACCTTTTCTTTCAGATTGCCAACGTAGCCCAGGTAAAGCCGGATCACTTCGATGATTGTGAGCAGGACCAGCCCGGTTATGAGCAGAGCCTGGTAGTACCCAGGGAGATAGTAGTACTGTGAACAGAGCAGAGCTACAATGTGTACGGGCAAGAACTCAGCTTCTCTTTTTACTCACTTTGTTTGATTAAATAAGATTGAATCAACTATGATTTCTACAATTTGTGATTTTAAAAATGTTCCTCGTCTATTTGTGTTTATTTACACATTTTTAATTATGGACAAAGTACTCCTTCAGTTTCCTTACTTGAGTAAAAATATTGATCCTACTGGTCAAACATTACTCCGATTAAAAATAAAAGTGCAATTTACTTTAATTTTACTTAATTTTAATTAATTAAATACTTTAAATTTAATTTTTTAAATTGCATGCATTATTCCTTCTTTAGTCACACTCTGTGATGGAAATGTTGCCGCCATTCTGCACCTATATGGTCCCTCCAGACCACCACAGTCACAAAAACACCGAACTTTTTAAACTTCACATATATTAACTGTGTTTTTTCTGTCTGTTAACCATTTACTGTTTATTCATTTCAAGTAATTTTACTGCATCATGGAGATTTAGTCACTGTCAAGTATATTTTGCCTGAAACCTTTGATATCATTCTTTTTTATCTTTGCTTTCTGTACCTGTTTTCTGATTTGTAAACTGTTTTGTTTATTATATTTTGTGACATGTGCTGCTGACCTCTAGGCCAGGTCACCAGTGGGAAAGAGATCTTGATCTCAATGAATTCTTATCTGGTTAAATAAAGGTAATTGAACAGATTTATACCTGGGTGAGTTTGGCTAGATGTCTTGCCCAGGGACACAACGGCAGTTAAAAGTTGACCCTTGGGCAGGGATTTGAACCAGCGACACTCTTTTTGCAGGGTGAATGCTACCCCCCTGCATCACTGAAATCTATCGTCCTAATTAGAGCTCTTTAACAAGAACTGTCAATTTGTTTAATCTCTACACTTCAAGGACAAGACTTGGAACAGTTTTTACCGAGTATTAAAGGGGCAATATCATGTAAAATAAACTTTTTTGAGTTTTATATCATGTTATAATGTTATACTCTCATAAAAAACATGTCCAAAGCCTTGCTTTGACTCATCCATGCATGTTTGAGAAATCCTGCAGTGTTTTTAGGAAGCCATGCTGAGGAGCAAAACGACAGGTGGGAACCAGAAACGCCCCTGGGGCGTGTCTTCAAGCTGAGCTTCCTCATCACTCCCCACCCCCTACCCGACACACCCCGCCCATGACTCCTGCAGGCTCTCGGCAGTAACAAAGCAGAAACTGAAAGTGAACCTTAAACTGTCTGCTGAGCTCCGCTATTTCTCTTTTCCAATTAAAAATACATTTGAGGAAATGTATTTTCAGATGCCAACTAAACTGCATCGTAGCACACGCGTGACACCTCCCCCTCCTCGCACCGAAATGGCCGCGACAAAAGCGGAAGGTGGTTCTTAAAGAGACAGAGGCCAATTTCAAGGCGTTTAGAAGAGGAAGTGATGAGAAGATAAGTTTATTTTCTATTTAAACATAAAAACAGCATTTTAATAACAACTAAAGGTGACATAGATACTTTATTATGGTATAGTATTTAAATATATGCCTGAGAAACACATAATATTGCCCCTTTACAAAACTAATTAAGGAGCTCTGAATCTAACCTGAACATTTTAGTTATTTGCAGTATTTGAAGTTTGCTGGATTGAAAATAATATTTGTTACAACAAACTAGAAACACTTTTGTACAAAACAATTTAAAGTTGAATTAGTTAAAATCCATTAATAGAGCAAAGGAACAAAAAGTCTAAAATGCTCTAACTCTTAACTAAAATGAGCTCATGTTAAAACCAGAACTAATCAGGACCTAAACAAAAACCTACAACAGTTCTGAAACATATACAGCATCTATAACCAGAGTGCCTGTATGGCAACACTATTAGGACAAAAAGGATTAGTCTTTTTCTCCCTACAACTGGTTCAAACCTGCTTATCACTAACAAAGGGGTGCAGTTCATTTTTACAGTTTGTTGGTGTAACAGAATAGACACAAACTACACAAACACGACAAAACACAGTAACTAAAGCCTTTAGAGAACTTCATTACTGCCCATCTTTGTGTAGCCAAACAGCATTGTTTGTGTTGCTTTTATTTCATGTGACTGGCTTGTTGGATGGACCTTGAACCACTAGATGGTACCAAAATATCAGCTTTACACTTTACTTCCAAGTTTAACGGGTGGGTTTACTTTTGATCTGCTGCATAAGCAGGTAATGCATTGTGATGGGGAACTATGAAATATATTTTTTCTTTTTTATTACTGTCTGCTTGAGTAATTTTCCCACGACTTACCTTTACTTCTAACATGAAGACAGCAGAAAACCACCAGCAGGGAAAGTAAAACAGGTTGAAGTACAGCAGCATTTGAAGGGGAAGGTGAGAAACTAACTCGTTGACCACTGAAATACAAAAAAATAAACCAGGAAACAGACATTTTATGTCACCTTAAATGGTCAAAATATGCTCAAAATAAGCATTTAGAATAAAAAAAATCCAAATAGTTAGATATCTTTTACAAACAGTATTTTGTAGAGTCAAACATGTAAAACATCTCATTTGTGGTGAACGTTTGTAAAGTTTAAAAGTGGCACATTTTTTTTAAACTGACCACCTGCCAAATATTTTCAACCATAAACTGTGATTCGGTCATGAACAGACAGTATTTCAGATATGACAGGCCTGAGTGTCTTCTAAACTGGATGATGTACTGTAGTATGTAAGATGGGGCATGAAAAGAATTGATGCATTTTATTTATTTATTTATTTTTTTTTTTATCAGCAATCTCGCTCAAGAGCTGGAGACTCTGAACAAATATCTGGTCCATCAAACGCTGAGATGCAACCACTGACACTCAGCCTGATGCCAGCGTCAGTCATAGAATAACCTAACATTGCATGATTCATGACTGTGAAAAGAAAGTGCAGCGTTTGGAGAAAACCCTTCAGACTAAGGGAAAACATCTCCAAAATAAAGGATCTTCCTGGGGTGCAATGATGCCCTCCAGAGGAGTTCTGTGTACTTAATAACTATGGGGCACCAAATGTAAAATAATGTTAAAAACTTTCACTAACATATTTTCATTATTTAGCTCACATTTTGAGTCTTTGAATTTACATTTCAAATATTATCTTCACCAGCGTTAGCAGCGACTAGCAGTCGCTAGCAGCGGCCATTGCTGATGTTTATCGCAAGGTGATGACATCATCCTGTCTGATGCTAACTTCTGGTAACACTTACAACACTGCTGAAGCCAATATTTAAAATCTACATTCAAAATGTGTTCATAAAAAAGTAAATGGGTGGTCCAGCAGTTTGAAGTGAAGCTCAGACACCAGCCATAACTGCAGGTTTGATGTCTTGCAGGGAATCTTTAGCTGCGTTGGAGCGCTAGCGGTTGCTATTGTCTCAGGAAGATGATGTCATAACATGAGCCAAAGGCTGCATTCCATTTCAAAATACTTAAATGTGAGCTTCTACATGTAAGGTTTAACTTTTACATTTAGATTTAAACATTTTAGATTTAGGATTTAATATTTAAAAAAAATTTTAACATTTAAATTCAATATTTAGTAAAAAAAAAAAATATCCAAATGGAAGAACAGTGAGCTAAACAGCAATAAAATGTTAGTGGACATTTTTTAACACTCAAAAAGTGAGCTAAATAATGAAAAAAACAGTGAAATATTTTAACATTTCATTTTACACTTGACACCCCATAAATATCCCAACTGCAAATAATTTTCTCATAATTAAACAACTAAACTTAAGCTATCAGCATCAAACATAATCTATTAGTGAGTTGAAAACTGTCTGATTGACTTTGACCATAAAAAACTGAGCAGAAAGCAAAAACACTTATGAGGTATGAACCAACCTGATGCATCCTCCTGCTCCCTGCCCACATCACTGTTTGCTGTCCTGTTCTTAGAGAACACTGAGCCTCCCACATAGGCCAGGCCCATCTGCAGGTTCTCAGGGACAGTCGAGTAAAACACTGGCATTGTGGGTAAAAACTGGCGATCATGACAAGGAGTCAGGAAGTGTAAATCAACAAAAAACGGAGGCTGCTGCAAATCCCTGCTGTCCTCAGTCCAATGAAAGCATATGCAGGCAAACAGAGATACTTGTGAACACAAAGACAGGCGCCGTCTAACGCTGCTGCTAATCAGATTATTGGGAAAGAAGCGGGTTGAGGATTAGGGAGTCGTCTGTGATGTTTTGTTAATTTGTTTGCTTTGAGAATGGAATTGTTATTGAAGCAGTAAAAACTCAGTTTTTTTTAGAATACTTTGCAGTGTGTGTCATTTAAACCAAAGCAAACATGATTAGAGGGAAGAAGTAAAAAAAAAGTCACAAAATGAAAAGACTCTGATGTTTAAGAATTTTCTTTTATTAAGTTTTGCTGTGATGAAGTACCCGGCACAATGCAGCCCCACCAGCGAGTCCTCAGAGTGGAGCCTGGTCTATACTGTCGAGGCCTTGAAGCCCCACTCGTCATTAAAGCGAGCGAGCTGCAGGTGCCGGGCGCGGCCACGAGGGGTCGTCACAGCTCGTCCCTGGGGGCGTGCAGGGGGAAATTCTGGAACTCCTCTGGTACCTCTTCCCCTTTCTGGGACCTCTTGTAGAAACCCAGTGAGTCCAGCAGGCTGCTGATCTCGTCCGCCTTCATTTTCTTCACAGGGACGGTCTGGTGTTTGAGGAAACACAAACACACCAGAAAACTCATCTTCACAGAGCAGAATATTTGCACAGAAACAGTTTTCATCTCAGAAACTGCTGCTTTTTAAAAAATTTTTGACTTGTCTGATTTTACCCTCATTGAAAATGTTTTGTTTCTTAATTTAAGCTTATTTGGTAACTCTTTCTTTTATGGTACCCTTATTACCATGTAATTACAAGGTAATAAAAGGTAATTAAATGTAATTACTACCTTATTACCATGTAATTACAAGGTAATAAAAGGTAATTAATGTAATTTCTACCTTATTACCATGTAATTACGTGGTAATTAGGGTACAAGAAAAACTACTGTTAGTAAAAGTACTTTTTTTGGGTAACTACAATCAAATTACTATTTAATAGTAACTCAACACTATATTTATAACCAAAAGAATGCAACTAAATTTTTGGGGTTAGTGGTTAATTGCAATAAAATATAACTTTAAAACTGTCCAAATTACCTACTACTTATTCAGGTGTGAATTGTAATACATTACCAGGAAGTGCTACATTACTGCAGACAATTAATTACATAGTAAAATTGTACCCTAATTACCACATAATTACATGGTAATAAGGCAGTAATTACATTAATTACTTTTTTGTTTACCTTGTAATTACATGGTAATAAGGGTACCATAAAAGAAAGCGTTACCGGTTATTTTGGACTGATCTTTATGACATTGCAATGAGTACATTTAATCATGGGAGGAAGTTGAACCACCCCTTATTGGTAGGAAATAGTAAAAAACCATTGATCATGTGACCAAATAGTTAGAAGGAATCATGGAGTTTGTGAAGGTAGACTTTTATTTCCAAAATTAATAATAATTTTTCACTCTTTAATGTGAATTTATTTTATCATAAATTTAATAGGAATTGCGTTTAGCCTATAATAGATATTTTTACATTTAAAAAGAAAAAAAATTGTATAGGTCTTCTGGACGGGTTCTTCTCTAATGAAACGTTTCGTCTCTCCTCCAAGAGACTTCTTCAGTCTGAGAGTTTCAGGCAAAATTCAGGCTTTTAAGCCCTGCCTCCATGTGACTGAAACTCACATCACATGGCTATCGTTGACACCTAATTAACACTTATTGTTAACAGGGGTGGAGTGATACTGGCAATAGCCGCGCTGTAGGAGGGGGACAACTGAAAACGGAGGCCTCCACCTCTGTTTAATGATGGACGGTCTTTCTTCACAAAAATGGCTTCTTTTACTCCTCTCTCAAACCAACGTTCCTCTCTATCAAGAATGAGAACATCTTCATCTCTGAAAGAGTGACCGCTGGCCTGTAAATGAGTGAAAACTGCAGAGTTCTGGCCATTAGATGTAGCTCGTCTGTGTTGGGACATTCTTTTGGAGAGAGACGAAACGTTTCATTAGAGAACCCGTCCAGAAGACCTATACAATTTTTTTCTTTTTGATTTTTTACCTGGATTACTGAGATGCATCAGGACATTTTTACATTTGTTTTCTTCATCATTTTTTGTATCTGTGTGTTACAACATAAACCTGGCATAAAAGTGTAACATTTTAGCTGTGGGAAGAAATAAAGGGAAAATGGCAGCTTTGGAGTAGGTTGAGCTTTTTGGCACCTTTCCCCTTATCCTATGATTCTGGAACAAGGATTCACTTCTAGTGTTTTCTTTCCAAATGTTAATGTTCGCTTCCCAAGCACTCTTGAAAGTATTTTGTTTGTTTTGTTGTTGTTTATTTTTTAAATAAAATGCAGTTTAGCAGAAATTTGTAACAGTAAAAATGTTATTGTAACCGTTGAATTGCATACAACAACAAAAAAAAATACACTCGACTTGGAAAAAGTGACTTTTATTTAAGGAAGGGAAGGTGAGTGAGTGGTGGGCCGAGTTGTGGGGGGGAAGGATGGAGCTTGTGCCATGAGACAACATTTTTTGAACATGCTACATTATCAAAACAGTTGTGTTGCTCATTCTGATTGTTTGACGAGAGGCACAATATCCTGAAATATATGTAGATGATTAAATTAGTGACCACATTATGATTGCCTTAATGTAGAGATCCTAAATATGAAAAATGACTCATCGTCCTCCAGTCTCCCCTACTGATAAAGTATAAGCTATAAAAACATGTAACAACTGAGAATTGATCTGGGTACTCTGACACAAAGTGCGACAAAAGAAACAAGTTCTTTTCTCTGATATGATTTATTTCACCTCTTGTTTCGAGGCTTGCTGTTTGTGTTGCGATCTGAGCAGGGATCTGTTATCAGATGCTGCGGCCTCGAAGGTGAACAACTTTCTTTTTCGCTCCGACATTCTGTGAGTCCCGAGATAACGAGTGTGCTCACCTTTACGACTTCATCTTTTTCATTGTAGAAGATCAGACGGGGATCCTTCTCTTCTGATGAGTCGTACACCAAGTTGTGGCTGTGAGGGAGGAGGGCCGATGAAAGGAAACAACAAGTAGACTCACTTCATAATATTTGAACTTAGAAGTGCCATTTTGTTTAATAAAACATTTGTAAGTACATTGGTGTTGTTGTAGATGGGTCAGATCTCAACCAGACTTAACAACTAGAACATAAGGATACTATAAAGCCCAGCGCTCCATGAGAAAATGATGAAGCTCTGGCATTTTCTTTATGCCTCATCCGACCACACTGGGAGCCTGCAGGGACGACAACAGATGGTTGTTAAAACACATCCATCTTTGTGCCGTCCTTTGTTTGATCGTCAGGAAATCTCAGCAGAATGAGCTGACTCGAAAACAAAAACTGAAAACTTAATATTCAGACAGTTTCTTCAGCGATATCACAACATCCAGCTGACACGACGAGCTGTTCACGTGACATTTTGAAGTTTTGTCCGTTTGCGTCGGTACTCACCAGCAGTTTACCTCGAGCTATGACTGGCCTTTCTTCCGTCTCTGTGTCGTTGGTTTCTGAGGCTCCAGCTGCAAGTGCAACCGTGAGCACCAGGAGGGCCCACATTTTTTGTGCTTTTCACACGACCATCACCAACAATATATAAGTCTTATCTACTCAGGTGCGAGGATGGACAGGTCCATGGTGCTTTTACACGGGGGAGTTTCACCCACCTGAGCTGAACGCTTTATTTGTTTTTTAGTATTTTGCCGTGAATTCCTTTTAAAATAAATTACTAAATGATTTCTTTTCTTCTTGGTTTACGTTAATCAGTTACGTAACTACTTTCTGTTATTAGGCTGTTTTTGAGTTTTCAAAGGCCCCTGCTTTTACAGTTCTTCGTCTCCTCCACATCAGATGTTGTTGGGATTCCACAGAACTCACCGAACATCTGTCCTCTTATCACTTTTTCCCACATCGAGTGTTTTCGAGTGGCCGTGGCCTCTGAAATCCAGACAGATGCTCTCGTTTGCTAAGAGCCAAAATTCCCTTCGAGCGGATTTGAATTGTAAAAATCCAAAGATTCGTCCTCTTATCTCAAAATGAAATAAAAGACGTGTTTGTTTTGTGAATTCAAACAGAGTTGTAGATTTCAGAACAGTTTCCAAATGTTTTCCATGTGTTAAACTCATTCATTTCTCCCCATAAAGTCATATTTTTATGACCAATTATATATGAAAAAAATGTTGAACTCAATCCACCACCCCATGTTGTACGTGTTTTCCCATTTTTATAGGAATACTTTTTTTAAATTCCCAGCTACGAACACTTTTATAAAACACTGTTTGCATATTTATTACCGTCCTCCACCCTGGAGGCCCTCACTGGGTCTGATTGTTAGAAAACACTCCACTTTATTTTAAGAGGCTATCCAAACTGACTGATTATACTGGATGTTCAGCATTTGTTCGGCTTCATTTTCAGTCCTGCAACTGGGGGGTTTTCACAACAGCTTTTACAGCAACCCTGTTATTAACTCTGTTTTAGTCCCTCTAACATCCTGTTGGATTTTGAAAGTGGAAGTGTCAGTTTCTCTGTAAGTTTGATGACATCAGCCTCAGATGAGCTCTGGCTTTTAGAGTGAAATGAAACAGATATTTTTTTACTAAATGAGAAGTTATGTTCTCACAAAACAAGGAAGTTGGCTTCTTGTTAGCCACACCGGATGATACACCAACAATAATGTCAACTATAAATTTCAATTAATTTAATATTACAGTCATTAACGCATTAAAAAACAATGTTTATTGGGGAGGTTGGTTTGTGCACTCCTGTGGAATGACCTAAGATTTTATTCATAATGGCTTTTTTGTTGTTTAAATTACTTTTAGTAGTTGTTAAACCAGTAATTTTAACACTTCCCCTTCAGTGAAAAGCTTGAGTTGATACTTTGGTTAAGTTTTGTTTAGTTTTTTAATTGTTCTTGATGATAAGTGATTTTGTTGATTTTTAGTTATTTTGCTCTCTATTTCTATAAAAATACTTACTTAAGAACTAAAAGTATAAGTATTGATTAAAAATGAGCGATTGATTTTCCAAAATGACATTTATTGGGAAGTGACCCCCCACCCAAAAAAACCCCACATACAATAA